TTCAGCTATTTTTTTTTTTTTGAGGGCTGGGGAGGCATACTCAAGTACCGTACAAAGTTGGGACAACTGAGAGATAATGGCAAGAATCGCAAGGCGGTTGGTCGGTATATATAAGACCTGCCTTGGAGTTAGCCTTCCGAGTCTTGGAGGTAACCATCTAGCGTTGCAACGGCCTTGACCCCGCCACCGACTCACAGATGACCCGAGCACGCCGTCTCAGTTGATAAGGAAGCATTCTGCTTCTTGGGCTCGCTGGGATCATGACCCCTTCTTGACTTTCACATGTCACTCAATCGCCCACTGCCCACCTTTCTCATGGACCCACCAACAGCTCCCAGTGCCTCTCGGGACAATGCATTCTCTTGCAACGTTACCGGACAGGCCTCAGTCAACAGCGGGGATGAAGGTGAGCAAGGCTTCGGCCAGCACGAGATGGATGCGGCCGACAAGGGCGCCGTGCAGCGCCTTGCGCCTGCCGGGAGCGCTGCTGCTTCTCCTGCGCAGACCGCCAGCAATATCGCCCCTGAACGCAAGATGACGGCCAGTCCCTCAGGTCGCAGTTCTCCGTTCGGAACGACACAGCCCGAGACGGAGATGGACCTGAGTCAGGACTCCAGGCGCAGAGAACCAACCAGACCTCTAAGACGATACTCACAAAGAAAATTTCTAGGGTGTCCAGGCGAGTCATGTTGGGATGCTTCGTCCTTGCTCTTGCAGGTGTCCTGGGCCACCATGTTTTCTTCAGCTCTCTTGTCGGACAGCCGATCGGGGGCCAGATAGACCAGCTGCAGACTCGTTTGTAGGTCGAGCGACTTCAATATATCGCGAATAATACTGCAGACGGGTGGCGGATGCAAGTCTCGGCAACGCATTCGCATATGTAATGTAATACAGGCGCTTTTGGTGGCCTCTATCGACATCGCCTTGACCCAGGTATGAAGATACTGTGTTCCGCACCCTTCCCCAGCCTCAGTACTACTGGTGAGTGGGTAGGTCATGTAGAGCTACTATCTCTCAGAGGGTACTGTAGCGAGATGCTAATGCTCAACTCAGTGGCTTTTCCTGTGTCTGAGAAACAGGTCCGTCAGGGTCAATTGTCTCGACACGGCCTACAGCGCCAATTCGTCACTGCTTTTCCCGTTAGATGTACAAGGTTCTGCCAGATGTCGCTGTTCTTGCTCTCGTTATCGTGTAAATGAGGACACATTACCAACGAAACCCCCCTCTCGCGATGGCGCTAAAGGGCCCCTTAGGATATTAAATGTTCCAACATCCATAGTCACTCCGCGAACACTTTACGTCCAACGGAGCCGGACCACCGGAGCTATTCTCAGCACTGTCCCAAAGCTTGTCATATCGACAGCGGGTTTCAAACAGTCCACCTAGTGAGTGAAAAAGATGAAGCCGTTTACCTCCCTTGCTAGCTTTTCCCCGGAACTCTGAGGCATGACTTAGGAGTCAAGGGGCATCCTTGGGGATTTCTTGGCTCTTCAAAATCCCCCGTATCGGCCGGTACTGACTCCGAGTGTCACAGCTTCCATCATTCGCACCCCAGGACCGGGCCGAACGGGCTACAGACAACTAGCCTCATCTTCAACAGCCCCAGGACGATCCTGCTCCGGCTCATCGCCGCTGCCGCCAGCACCGGGGAGCTGCTGTCACTTCCAGCGCCTGCCGTCAACTCGTCGTACCAGGTCCAATTCTGGGCGCCCTACGTCCGATGCGAGGAATCCAACACGACCATTGCCGCCATGATCAACCAGGCTTTGACACAGTCTGTCGCCGCCAACAAAAGCGGCGCTTCTCTCGTGTACACTGGCTATTTTGCCTACGTGCCTGACCTCTCGTCATCCGGCCGTCTCGGCCAGCCTGGCGAGCGCGCTGCCAACGCCTCGCGCTCATCTAACGAGCTGTGGTTGACCTACAAGTCCAACGGCACCGGCTGGAACACGTTCATCTTTCCCCACTACCCTGTTAACGAATACAGTGTGTGTCGGCTCCACGGTGTCTCGAACTACCTGACGGTAGGCTTCCTGAACGGCAGGATGCGCGTCACATACGATGACTTCGCGGAGCAAGACTTGGGGCCGCCCGTGGCGTACCCTCCGGCCATCGTTGACAGCACCAATCGGGGCGAGCTGGCTGGTCTGGACTACGCGGCGTGGTTCTGGCCCTTCTCGGACCTGCTGGTCGGCTCGATGTCGCTGTGCGCTGAGGACCCAACCGACAAGGCGGAGCGGTGGTTCAGCGTCCTCGACATCAAGCTGAGCCTTACTGCACTCGTGGGCTCGGCGAGTCTCAACTGCTTCTTCGCTTGGGGGGTTATGTTCTACAACGCAACTAACCCTAGGCCGTCCGAGGAGCAGCGGCTACAGGACATCGCATTTGCCGGCGACGGGATGCCGTTGGACAAGCTCATCCCCGAGCTCTCAATGAACGTGACCATCAGCCTGATGAGTAACGCGTTACTCGCGTCAGTGACCGTCAAAATCCCTTGCCACTGGATAATAGTACTATACTGACGCCGCAAGCAGCCCAGCGGTCCCGGTCCAGGTCAACGTCACAACTCCCATCGACGTCTACGCTTACCATGCGCAGACGCTGCTTGTTTCCTATGGGACTACTCTCTTTGCAGCCACCCCGGCAGTGACCATGGGTTTGGTGGCCTTTGCCCGGAATGAGGTGCGCATGGATAAGAGCTTTTCGTTCGTGGTAAGCGCTACACAGGGCTTGCACTTGTTCGACGAGATCCTCTACGAGCGGCGCGGGGATATCCCGGTGCTCGAGAAAGTCCGCCGGAAGCGGGTTAAGTACCAGCGGCTGCTGGGGCCGAAAGGGGGTTGGGGGTTTGTGGTGGAGAAAGCAGACCGTCGAAGAGGTCGAAGCCGTGGTCAAAATCGCCACGCAGTACAAGCTCCCATTGTGGACTATCTCGCGCGGCACGAACTTAGGCAGCGCTGGTGTTTTTCGGGGGTCTGTCATTCTCGACTTGCATCGGATGAACCAGATCATGGAGGTGGTGCTTGCCACTGGGGAAGTTGTCAGGACGGGAATGGGTGCACTCCCCGGAAGTCCGATGTGGTCTTTGTTCAAGGGGTGAGAGATGACTTCAGCCTGTAACTGATTCGACCTAAAAAATACTGATTCCAAACAGCGGCTGCGGCCCGAGCGTGGATCGTCTATTCTATCAGTCCAACCTGGGTCAGCATTCTCCCCAACCCCATTTCAGATATCTGGTTATTTCTAAGAGACATGAACAGGAATCGTCACCAAAATCGGAATCCACCTCACCCCCGCACCAGCCTGCTACGCCGAGTGCGAAGTCTCCGTCCCCAACCAAGACCAGCTCGCGATCATGGTGCGCACAATCGCCCACCTCGAGCGCGTAAACATCATCCAAAACCACACCTCCATCTCCAACCCGTACTGCCGCGCCCTGCCGAACTCGCCACCCACCCAGACATCGCACCGCGCGTCATCGCGCCCGGAATGCAGGGCAAGTGCGCCAAGAACGACGACATGACCGCTCTCGCAAAAGAAAACGGCTGGGGCTACTGGACGGGCAACTTCGCCATCTACAGCGCCTCGGCGGCCATTCTCGACGCGAACTGGGCCCTGGTGCAGGAGCGCCTTCTCGAAACCATCCCCGGAGCGAAATTCAAGGCAAGCCGGCACTACAGCAACCCCGGGGAACGGCTCAATGGGTCCAAGCTGCCGCCGATCGATATCCGGCACACGGGCATCCCGCGCATCCATCACAACATGCTGGTCTCTCTGCGCGGGGCAAACGGCGCACATACGTACTTCTCTCCTTTGTTTCCGACCGATGGGGTGGACATGCAAGCGTGGTGGACAAGAGCACTGCAGCTGACTGAGGAGGCTGCATTCGACATGATTGCTGATTTTCATGTGTACGGCTGGTACGTGATTGCCATTGCGCTGGTGGTGTTTGGTCCAGGCGATGGCTCCAGGGTCAAGAAGCTGTTTGGGAGTCTTCTTGAGGATGCAGAGAAGGTCGGTGTGACGGAGTATCGCACGTACATTAGGTATATAGACCAGCTGCGGAAGCAGTTTGACTTTGAGGACAACGCGCTGGGTCGGATGCTGAGCGGTATCAAGGGCTTGCTTGATCCCACTGGGATTTTATCGCAGGGGAAGTCGGGGATTTGGACGGAGGTGGCGAAGAATTGATAGATTAGTGCTTGTTGATGCTAAGTAAATAGAAATACAAGTTTACTTGAACTGTTTACTTCCTTTGTGCCCCTTTTATCTCGCACCACAAGCAGCCAAACTTAGAGCCCCAATCAACGCCGCAACTCGTCCCGCCGTGATCGTGATTCAACCCTTGAACTGGAATCCTACGACCCACCACAACCCCGAGCTCAACCAACGAAACAATCACGATAGGACTTGCTTACCAGGTTGCTTCGCCAAGGAGAAGTAGATTAAGTCCAGCTCACATTGGGACGGGACAGGGTCACCACTAAGAAACCCACTAAAAAGAAAAGGTGCGCATGATTATCTGCAGGAGTGCGTAGCACTTTTGCGTCAAGTGAGAAAGACGGCAAGTAATCACCATCCAAGGAAATAAAACACAAAAACCGGGTATGGTGTAATGGTAACATCGCCGACTAAATTCGCGAATCGGCCGTTCGGGGTTCAAATCCTCGTACCCGCCTAAAACCTCTCTTGTTTTTTTATCGTTTGTTATATTCTTTCGCCTTTTTGTCCACTTTTGCCTTCTATTTTCAATCACACATCTTGCATCGTTGTATCAATAAAACTTGGTGTTTGTCTCTATAGTCCATTTCTGACAAGTCTCAGCTACTAGTCTGCTTTAAGCCGGGCGACAGACCCACTGTCAACTGCTTCCTAGATAACAGGGTCTATTGAACGTGCACACAATGGGAAAGGCCTGGATGGCTGCCTGGACGGGAGCCAGCTCGCTCTCCCTCAAGTGAAAAAGACATGAACTCCTATTGATCTTATACTAACCAAAACCGGGTATGGTGTAATGGTAACATCGCCGACCCCCTGCTCAAATCGGCCGTTCGGGGTTCAAGTCCTCGTACCCGCGAAATATTTTCATCCTTACTTTTTTTCATTTTGTCCTTTGCTTCGTTTCCTTCTTTTTTCTGATGGTAAGTAAGAAGGAGGACGCAAGTTAGAGTCGCTCAGTATTAAATCACAACCGGGTATGGTGTAATGGTAACATCGTCGACAAACTTCCCCGAATCGGCCGCTCGGGGTTCAAATCCTCGTACCCGCAATGAATTCTACTATCTTTTTATACCTCTTTCTTCAATCCGGCTTATCTCTTTTCTTCCCCTTTCCGGTCCTTGATAAATTCATAAAAGATTGGTAGAAATAGTTGAGATGTTCCGAATACGGATTGCCGCCCGCCAGTCATCCCCTTTCAGCCACGAGGCGACTCACAGCTGCCTGCTGCCTAGATGAAACGGGTCTACTATTCTAAAGTCACAAAAGTGGAGAGGCGTCCATTCACTCCTGCACAACTTGCGCGATTTGCTCAGAGGATGCACATAATGAATGCCGGAATACCGATGCAACAAAATCGGGTATGGTGAGTGGTAACATCGCAAATAGTTCTAATTAAAGCTCCAAGGCCGCCCGGGGTTCGAATCCCCGTACCCGCTAAACAACCTCATCTTTTTGTCATTCAACTTACTCATGCGGAATAGACGAGCACAATTGCTCGCGAGACATTTCAAAGCTTGAAGCGCATCTGAATCATCCATCGCTATCTTATTAGACTTGGTTAAGTGCATTACGGAAATAGTGGTGTTCGCAGTATGAAAAAGGAAAAGCAATAGAAAACAAACTGACCTACAATTCGATGCTCTGAATGTGGTTCGAATCGCGGATTGAACCCTAGACGTCATACCGTACAACGGGCGCTAAGATCCAACAGATGCTAACCACAGCACCATTTGTTCGTTGGGTATTGCGGGAACAAAAGTTGCATTTATACCTTCAGCTCCATTCCCCTTCCTCCCCCACCAGGGCTGGTGCGCACGGCGATGGACATTCCTCGAGGAAATATTATTGGGGAGCGGCGGGGAGATTTCCATATCTGAATGATGTGCCTACACTGAAGTTGAAGAACAAAAGAGGAACTTGGTTGAAACAGCTCCCAACCATGTCCACGTCTTCGGGCTCTATCCTCTTTTTCTCGTCTTCGGAGCTACTCCAGAAGCTGTTCAGTTCACGCATCAAATATCTCAGCCAAAAACCGCTCAGCCTCATTCAAGTATGGTGGTCGGGAAGCCTGAAACGTACCAGCAATCTCCAGCCTCTTCAACTTCCCGCAAATCATCTTAACATCACTATGATCCTTTTCCAGCAGCGCGTCGACAATGCGTTTCGTCGTGCTCCGCAGCATGGCCTCCTGCGACGGTCCGAGCGCCTTCATCGTGGCCGTCTGGTCTTTGAGGTCGTGCGTCCAGGCGCTGAATTCATCAGTGCTCTCCTTCAGGTTCTGGTACTCGACGAGACGTTCTTGGATGAGGGTTTTGATTTCTTGCGAGCCCATGTCCATTGTCTCCGCGCGTTGGAGGAGAGCCCGGGCGGAGGTGACGGCCTTGTCGAGGGATTTCTTTTGGGATTCGAGGGTGGAGACTTCGGATTGGAGGGAGGATTTGCGGGTGGTGGCGGAGGATATGGAGTCTTGGAGGCGTTCGCGGTCTTTTCGCATGGCGCTGTTTGGGACATAACAGTTAGGACATTCTGGGGGAGGGCTTTGTTTGGATGATCAGAAAGAAAATGAGAACGTACAACGCCGCTGCCTCAAGGCCGCCTGCCACCAGAAGCGCGGGAGGAAAGAATATGCTAATTCCCCAGGTAGCGGCTCGGGCCTGTCGTACATCAGTGTCAGCTTTGTGCCTCAGGTTTTGTCTGGCAGTGTTAAACTCACGACCCGCATGACATTCCTGTCTTCCTTCTCACTCGCCATCTTTGCCTCCAGAGTTGACAACTCCTGTCGCGTCGACGCGAGGGACTGGTTAGCCTCGGACAGTTGCTTCTGCTTGTCGGTGATGTTTTTGTTCGCAGTGGTCAATGCACTGCGCGTCCTCGTCGACACGGACTCGATCTTGGTCCGGATGGCGCAGAGCTCGTCGTGCATGTCGTCGCCCGTCTTCTTGATGTCCTCGACGCGCTCAAGACCCGAGCTCGCCGCCTGGTGCAGGAGACTGAAATTGGCATCCATGTCCATCAGATGCCGTTTGGCGATGGCCTTGGACGCGGCGACGTCGTTGGTGCCCGAAGCGGGTTTCTTGTACTCGATGTATCCGACCAGGCGGCTGGTGCCGGTTTCCAGGTACAGCACGGTGCGCTCGACCGAATCGACGCTGCTTTGGAGCTGGGCGAGCATGTTGCTGTGGTCCTCCTGGATGGTGGACTTTGACTTGGCCTCAAAGGCATCCAGACGCGCTTTGAGATCAATCAGATCATTTTGGATCTTCTCGATTTCATTCTGCAAGTCCATCTTCTCACATTGGTGGGCGTTTGAAACAATACGACAATCAAAAAGGACTCAGGGGGAAATGTGAGTAACCTTTGAAAGAGAAGCAACGTTTTGTGTCCCTAACCTAACTTTCATTATGACTCTTCCGTCCAGGCCAAGAAGTTGGGCAGCGAGGCTCTTACCCCTCCATGCCACGGCTGAAACACCATGATTATCGCGTGATCCGACAATGCTACTGTGGCGGCGTGAGAACATTTGTCAGTGGTCTTGGCAGGACGAGGCTGCGAGCCTAGACCAACGGCTTGTGTGGCGAATGCAAACTGCCATTTCTAGTCAGCAGCTCTTCTGTTCCACAGCGTGGGGTCCCGGCCAATGGCCTGAAAACGGCCTACACCATCCGGCATTCCGCTGAATCCGCTAACAAGTCAGCTCTGGGGTCAACTCCGACAGCTCCGAAGTCCACAGCTTTACAGGCACGACAGTGGCCGATAGTGGCCAGAGGAAGCGAGCGGCCTATGAGCTAGACTCTTGCCGACACGTGTCGCGTGTCCAAGCCACATTGCCAAGCCAGTGAAGAACGGCGTAAAAGGGGAGAGGATCATGGATGCCTGCGTGGCTAGATACTGGCGTCGAATGTAACGTCATCCTAGAGCCTTGCGGCTCTCTGCGGCTGTGCTAAATTGATCTCCATATATGTAGTAGGGGCTTGCCTGGACGGGACATATCGAAGTTTGTCCCTTCATGATATTTACCTATAACGACTATTCCGGATTTTCATTCAAGTCTATCTACATACATTCTTAGAGATTTCTTTCTCTCGCATTCACGGTCTGTCCATTTTTGAGTCACAGCTACAATCACCAGTGGTCATGGGCGATAACGATGAGGCTTCCGGCCCCTCCAAGGTCAACGAAGAAATCGACCTCTCCGACGCCGACGAATCCGCCGAGGGCTTCGATCCAGGCGATGCAATCCAAAACCAGCAACTCATCCGTCTCGTGCGCACCTCAGCCGGGTCTGAGCTGTTTGTTAACTCGGTTGCGCAAGAACTTCTGAAAGGAGTTGGTCAGGCGAACTGGGGCGGTCTGTTGAGTGCCGCGCCTGATGCCCTCGGCCGACTTGGGCAGTGTTTTGTTCTGGCGTCGGACCCGCTTGCTGCCTCACTCGTGTTTCCTGAGAGTGCAGGATTGAAGTGAGTCGATGTCGTTCCTGAAAATAAATGCCTTCACATGCTGACCCCAAACGAAAGGTACAAATCATTGAGGGCGAATCTTGTCCACTGCTCGGATCTCGGCCGCAAGGCATTCCGTGACGCCGAAGCCAGGATGAAGAAGGTTTCCATGGTTGCCCAGGCAGTCTGCGAGCCCGACGGAACGGTAATTCGTATTTTTCTGGGTTCCATAAATCCTATGCTGACAACCTTTGGTACAGATCGATATGATCATCCAAGCCACCGAAGATGAAGACCTCGCCGAGTTGGATCTTCCCGACCAGCTTGCTGCGCTGAAGCGTGTGTCCAATGACTGCATCGAAGACACCAAGGCCATCAAAGAGAAAGTGGCCGCCTGGAGCCAGTTTGCGGGTCTTGTTTACCAAGCATGTGTTGACCAGGACCGTATGTTACTTTCTCCCTTTTCTACTAGTTGCTGGCATAATCTTACACTTCGTGCTTTCAGAGACACTGGGCAAGGACCAACATGATCTCGACGGCCAGATCGTCGACAAAAAGCTGGCTGTGGGAATGAAGCAGGAGCGGGTGAACGATGTCAAGGCCCAGACGGAGCAATACCGTGGGCAGCTCGCCAGTCGACAGGCAGAAATGACGAGAGCTGCCAAGTCACAGCACAGGGGTAGGTTCCCTGCCTCTTGATATTGTGGTTTCTCCCTTGCTGATTAGAAACTCACCGTTTCCAGGCGGATGGACCGACTTCACCGTCAAGATAGGCGACGCCGTTGTCGACACGGCAAAAGGGCTGCTGAACCCCTTTGGCGGCTTCGAACTCAACCTAGGATGGGGCAGCAAAAAGGAGTCCAAGGAGCCGCACTACACGCCAGACCCGAGCGACGCGCTAGCACAGCAAGATGCGGGCTATATCCTCGCCGAGCGTCTTCTCCCTGTTGTTCATAATTTCCTCCAGTTGCTGGTCTCCGGACCCGACGATTTCAACGGCGTTCAATGGGAGGCCCTTGGCGGGAGAAGCCACCACTCCGATGCCAGAAAAGACGCCGTCTGGAATATCCAGGGCAAAATCCAGCACGTTCTTCAGCAGTTCAGCAAGGAGCAGTCCAAGCTTGTTTGGCAGGTCCGCGAGGAGATGAAGCCAGTTGACGAGGTTCGTATGCTTCCACTTAACCAACACTTATTACCCAATCTGCCTGCTTCTTGCCGCACGGTTAGCTAACAGAAGTATTCCGCAGGTTGCCGAAATGATCCGTGACATCATGAAGCAAGAGCAGAACATCAACCAAAACACGCACCAGATTCTCGCAGACTCTGCCAAGACGTGGCGGAACGAAGTCAAGACAACTCAAACAGCGTTGGGCAAGATCATCGGCACTGGCATTGAGCTCGCCAAGAAGAAGGAGGAAGAGAAGAAGCAGGTATGCAAGGCACTAACCAAGAATCAATTCCGAGCGTGCAGCCAGCAACTGACAGCGTTAAAGCGCAGGGAAGTCCGTCTGAGAACGACAAGTATGTCCAAATTCCCGCTCACCTTCATTTTGTCGACACCATGCCAGTTACTAACACCAATCCAGAAATGTCCCCCTCCGAAATCCGCTTC